CAACAACTTGATGCACATCATCCATCTATCCATGCATCCATCCAATCAATCATCCATCCGTCCATCCATCCATCTATCCATGCATCCATCCAATCAATCATCCATCCATCCATCCATCCATCCATCTTTTTCCACATTCCCCTTCTATTCCACTGCAGAAGGATGGTGGCCATGATGCTGTGGGTGGCCCTCAGCCTGTGTGGCTGGCTCTCCCTCTACGCCTGGTCCTGCCATCACTACCGAGAGCGCCCCTGTGAATGGAGCTGCCGACTGGTCACGTTGACTCATGGCGTCTTTGCCACCTGCCTCTCCGGCTACATTGGGTTTATTGACGGCCCCTGGCCAATGACTTACCCAGGTATGTCTGGTTCGTTTTCATAGAAGCAAACCTTGCAGAGGTGCAGAGACAAAGGATGACCTTGGCTTTCTAGAAAGGAATTTTGCTTTGGCTACATAGCATCTGCTCCGTACAATCCCCCCTCCCATCTTCCCACAGTAGAAAAGATATAGTGGAATATTAGAAAGTATGGCAGGCCAAGGGTCGAAGAAGAATATGACTGCAGGCCTGACATTAGAAGCAGAAGTCGCCTGCAGTACTGCACTCTTAACCACTGCGCCACCGTGGTGTACTTGTATCTTTGATTTCCCTCTCTTCCTTGTCCTCTAGGGTACCCAAACACGGTACTTCAAGTCTACGCGTTGTGCATCAGTTTGGGTTACTTCCTGTTTGACCTGGGATGGTGCGTCTACTTTAAGGCTGAAGGACCTTTGATGTTGGTCCACCATTCTGTCAGCATCCTGGGCATCAGCGCCTCCCTGGCCTTGGGCGAGTCTGCCGCCGAGGTCAACGCCGTCATCTTCGGCAGCGAACTCACCAACCCCTTCCTGCAGGCCCGCTGGTTTCTGCGGGAGAAGGGGCTGTACCCCAGCTTGATAGGAGACGTGGTGGACTTCCTCTTCGTGGTGCTCTTCGCAGGCGTGAGGATCGGGGTTGGGGCTTGGCTGATGTACAGCGTGTTGCTGTCACCCAGGCCCAGGGTCTTCATCAAAGTGGGAGGTTTCATCATGTACGCTGTGTCGTGCGTTTTCATGGTCAGCATTTTTAGGTTTGCCCGGCGTAAAACTGTGAAGAAATATCAAGCCTGGAGGGCTTGGTGGAACAAAGAGGTGGACTTGAACGCCAATGGGTATCTCAAGAGTCACTGACCCAATTGTGGGTTGTTCTCCAAGATTTAGCATCGATAATTAGTCTGGGATGTACCTCCAAGATCTTGTTCGAATCGCCAACAGAGTGAAGGAGGGGGCCAAGGCGGCGTTGTAGATAGATCATGGGACTACGTCTGGAGAAACCCAGGGTCCACCTCCCTGCTCAACCATGAAACTCGGTTGAATGAGGGTGGACTTGCTGCAACCCTACATCCCAGAACTGTTGGAGGACGAAATGAAACAACTGTCACTGCTAATGTCCTAAGCAATGGGTGGGAAGGTGGAAGATATGTATGATCTAGGGAGATGCGTCAGATGTCGCAAGCCGGAATAGAGTTGATTCCTGTTTCAACCCAGTGCAAATGCTTGTGCTTAGTGGGAATGTGTTGCACACCCTCCTATTATGTGTGTGTGTGTGTGGAGGAGGGGGACCTTTTCTAACAATCTTTCTATTTTTCAGAATTAAGGCGCGATCCCAAGTAAGCCAGGAGTAATTCTAAAGAATCTCCTGGTTGGGTTGGTTTTCCTGGTTTGGATTTTTTCCCCCTCTTGTTATCTGAACTAAGGGGACTAGATGAAAAATGAGTAAGATATAGAAGAGCACAGTCTGTACTGTTAAATAATGTAGAATGGGTTCTTCCTAGGTTCTTCTTTGGAGGATGGTTAAGTTATAGGCCATCAATCCTTAGCTTCCCTGGCATTAAATAGATAGAGGACTGTCTGTCTGTCTGTCTTTGTCTGTCTGTCTACCTCTATCTTTCCATCCATCCCTCAATTTTCCTCAATCCATCCACCTTTTCATCCATCTAGGCTTTCTACCTTCTTTCCATCTTTCCAACTATCTATTCATCTATCCTTCCTATCTTCTATCCATCCATCCACCCACCCACCTACCCATCCACCCACCCATCCTATCTTCTATCCATCCATCTATGCATCCATCCACTCACTCACTCACCCATCCATCCACTCATCCACCAACCCACTCACCCACCCACCCCTCCATCCATCCATCCATCCATCCATCCATCCATCCATCCATCCATCCATCCATCCTATCTTCTATCCATCCATCTATGCATCCATCCACTCACTCACTCACCCATCCATCCATCCACTCATCCACCAACCCACTCACCCACCCACCCCTCCATCCATCCATCCATCCATCCATCCATCCATCCATCCATCCATCC